GAAGGCAACTGCGGCCAAGGATCTTGAGAGCAGCCTCATCACCGACTACACCCTCAAAGTAAATTTTTTTAATTCTCACACTAATTTCGTATCTTATTGAGAAAGAAAACAATAAATCAAAAGGGATTTATATATATCCTAATGTTATCAGAATTAGTTAGAAATAACGTACCAATTAACTCATTTTTTTAAAAATATATTTGGATATATAATCGTGAGTTTATTTATTTTCTCTTTGTTATGATTTGAGCAGATATTAGGGCTTGACATATGCAAAGACACAATTGCTGGGGATGAGATGATGAGAGGAATTTCAGGTGGCCAAAAGAAAAGACTCACGACAGGTTTGGTTCACTGCTAATATTCTAATCTGATTTTGTTTATAAAAAAAAAAAATAGGGAAGATAATTTTGTAATTTTAGAAAATAAAGGATAGCATTGTAGTTTTAAAAAACAAATTAAAAAGGTCTTTTTTGTAATCATGTCGTATATTCGATCGCCGATATCCAATTTAAGATCACGAAACTGGAATTTGAATTCAAATCTCGATTTACATAAAATTCTTTAACATGGAGTTAATTAATGTCCCAACGGTCGGAATCAACAGGGGAAATGATAGTAGGACCGACAAAGACTTTGTTCATGGACGAGATCTCGACGGGTCTGGATAGTTCGACCACGTACCAAATAGTGAAATGTCTGCAACAAGTGGTTCGCCTCACGGATGCAACCATTCTCATGTCGTTACTGCAACCTGCTCCCGAGACGTTCGATCTGTTCGATGACATCATCCTCTTGTCGGAGGGTCAGATCGTCTATCAGGGCCCACGCGACGATGTTCTTCAGTTCTTCGAGACATGCGGTTTCAGATGTCCCGATCGAAAGGGCACGGCAGATTTCTTGCAAGAGGTATATATATTGTATGGGTGAATATAGAGAGAGAGAGAAAATACGTAAAAAAACCTAGGTTAAATCATATATGCATACTTTGCCATTTTAGTGTATGATCGACGAAACTTTTGAACCACGTTAACTTGTTGAATAGGTTACTTCAAGAAAAGATCAAGAACAGTATTGGACTGATAGGACGAAACCATACAGATACATTCCGGTCTCCGAATTCGCAAACCGATTCAAAAGTTTTCATGTCGGGATGAATCTTCAGAGGGACTTATCAGTCCCTTACGACAAACAGAAATCTCACCCCGCAGCTCTCGTGTTCAACAAATTCTCCATCTCTAAGTCTCAGCTCCTCAAAGCTTGTTGGGACAAAGAATGGCTCCTCGTGAAACGAAATTCCTTCTTCTATGTGTTCAAGAGCGTTCAGATAAGTATCCTCGCCGCTATCTCCTCGACTGTGTTCTTGAGAACACAAATGCACACAAGGAACGAACTCGATGGGGCAATCTACGTTGGCGCATTGTTGTTTTCTTTGATCATAAACATGTTCAATGGATTCCCCGAGCTCGCCATGATGATTCAGAGACTTCCCGTGTTTTACAAGCAACGAGATCTTCTGTTTTATCCTGCATGGGCTTTCAGTGTTCCTACTTTTCTTCTCAGTATTCCGATCAGTGTCATGGAATCAATAATTTGGGTTGGTGTGACGTATTACTCAATCGGGTTCGCTCCGGAAGCTAGCAGGTAATCTCAAATTCTAGAGATTTATACCTGTTGGTAATCCCAAAACCCTAATTAACTTGCAACTGTGTGGTGTTTTGCAGGTTCTTTAAGCACTTGTTGTTGTTATTTCTGATACAGCAAATGGCCGGTTCCTTGTTCAAATTCATCGCTGGAGCTTGTAGAACAATGATCATTGCAAACACCGGAGGCTTTCTTGCCCTGCTTCTCATATTCTTGCTTGGTGGTTTCATTCTTCCTCGAGGTAAGCTCGTGAGAGAAACCGGCCTTACAAACGACTGTACAAAAGCAAAGATCGAAAGAATTTTTTCCATTTTATGGTTTGAAGTTGCTAAAACAAGAAAGATTTCGTGCAACAGGCGACATCCCCAAAGGGTGGAGATGGGCTTACTGGATATCGCCGATAAGTTATTGCTACAACGCTATAACGGTGAACGAAATGGATGCCCCGAGATGGATGAAGAAACCGGTAACATCTTGCTTGTACATTAAATATAAAACCAGTTCCTTGTAAGTTGTTTCAACTTTTGAAATTCTGATCCAAACTTGTGAATCCTGCAGTCTTCTGATAATTCAACACGACTGGGGTTGGCGATTCTGAAGAACTCTGACTTGTTCTCTGATCCAAACTGGTATTGGATCGGGTCAGGAGTCATGCTTGGGTTCGCAATTCTCTTCAATATCCTCTTCACCGTCACTCTAGCGACCCTTAACCGTGAGTACTAATGATTGCTTTCTCAGCATTCGTTCTCTTGATCATTGCTTCCGCCACTAATAGTATTCTTTTGTTGATGCCAGCCATGGGAAAGCCGCAGGCGCTGATTCCTCAAGATGATGCAGATGAAACAGAGCGGAAACCAAGTGAGACGCGTTATGTTTTGGACAAATTTACGTTTCGAACAAATCTCATTCATTGCTTTGGATTTTTCAGGTAGGCAAAGTGCATCCGGTGGTACTGAGAATAACCGAGCAAAGAAAGGAATGGTTCTACCCTTTACACCACTCGCAATGTCATTCGACAACCTTAACTACTACGTCGACATGCCGGGGGTATGAACCATCACGACCTTAGTATTCAAACTTACGAGAAAAATTCATCTTCAATTCAAGGAATCTAGTATTATCTCACTCGACAGGAGATGAAAGATCAAGGAGTTGCAGAGGACAGGCTACAACTTCTCCGAGAAGTAACTGGAGTGTTTAGACCAGGTGTTTTGACGGCTCTAATGGGCGTTAGTGGAGCCGGGAAGACTACTCTGATGGACGTTTTAGCGGGGAGAAAGACGGGTGGATACATCGAAGGAGATATCAGAATTTCGGGTTTCCCCAAGAAACAAGAAACCTTTGCAAGAATCTCGGGTTACTGCGAGCAGACCGACATTCACTCGCCGCAGGTTACTGTCAGAGAATCTCTCATCTACTCGGCCTTTCTTCGCATCCCAAAGGACGTTAGCAGAGATGAGAAGATGGTATTTTTCTGACCATACTGTTCTAATCATCTTAGATAATTTAGGATTTCATATCAATCGGAGCGATAACATGTATTTTTTCTTCGTTTACGTAGATGTTCGTTGATGAAGTGATGGAGTTGGTAGAACTAGACAATCTCAAGGATGCAATAGTCGGCTTACCGGGGATCACAGGGCTATCAACTGAACAAAGAAAGCGTCTAACAATAGCGGTAGAACTTGTGGCTAATCCTTCGATAATCTTCATGGACGAGCCGACGTCAGGGCTCGACGCTAGAGCTGCGGCTATTGTAATGAGAACGGTGAGGAACACAGTGGACACCGGAAGAACAGTTGTCTGCACAATCCACCAGCCTAGCATCGATATTTTCGAAGCCTTTGACGAGCTTTTGCTGATGAAGAGAGGGGGAAAAGTTATCTATGCAGGCCCGTTAGGGCGAAACTCTCACAAGATCATCGAATATTTCGAGGTAAAAAAGATTCACATTACGTTTTTTAGATTCATATAATATATTTTTCCGGTGAAAATGCGACGCAGGCAATTCCTGGAGTGCCAAAGATCAAGGAGAGATATAACCCGGCGACATGGATGCTTGAAGTGAGCTCCGTGGCTGCAGAAGTCAAGCTTGGAATGGATTTCGCTGAATACTACAAAACATCGTCTTTACATCAGTAAGTTCAACACAACTCAAAACGTGTAATCCAAATGTTTTTTTACAAAAGTGAAAAAAAAAATGCTTCTTAACTACAAAAAACGTGGCAAACCCTAAACAAATCAAATAAAAAAAGAACAAAACTAAACTGAAAACCGACATAACATAACTAAATCTCATATTCTGAATGACTTTGGTGAAGACGAAACAAAGAACTGGTGAAAGAACTGAGCACGCCGCCGCAGGGAGCAAAAGATCTATATTTCACAGCACGATATTCACAATCGTTGTGGGGGCAATTCAAATCTTGCTTGTGGAAGCAATGGAAAACCTACTGGCGAAGTCCGGACTACAACTTGGTCAGATTCTTCTTCACATTAGCTGCAGCTCTCATGGTCGGAACGATTTTCTGGAAAGTGGGAAAGAAGAGGTTTGTCGAATCTTATCGATCTTTTGAGGAAACGCTATGTCAAGTTCTTACATGTTACATACGATTTCTTCGAAACAGGGACAATGTCAATGATCTTACTGTTATCATCGGCGCGATGTTTGCTTCGGTTTTGTTTGTCGGGGTAAACAACTGCTCAACAGTACAACCAATCGTATCGGTGGAAAGATCGGTGTTCTACCGAGAAAGAGCTGCCGGAATGTACTCTTCCTTACCTTATGCCCTAGGGCAGGTCAGGAAAAAAAATCTCTACAAAACCTTGTTACTTGGTAAACAATAAACCCTAGAAAGCAATAAAAATAGAAGTAAGATGGTAACATTAACATGATTACTCCATTTTTGCAGGTGATATGCGAAATACCGTACGTACTGATCCAAACGACGTATTATACGTTGATCGTGTACGCAATGGTGAGCTTCCAATGGACAGCAGCGAAATTCTTCTGGTTCTACTTCATCACCTTTTTCTCCTTCCTCTATTTCACATACTACGGGATGATGACGGTCTCCATCACGCCAAACCAGCAAGTTGCGGCTATCTTTGCATCAGCTTTCTACGGCATTTTCGTTCTCTTTTGCGGTTTCTTCATACCTAGACCGGTAAGTTCTCTGTGACTTGCGCCGTAAGAAACATCACCTTCACCTGGTTTTAACATGTTCTTGGTCTTCTTCTATCTTGGGAAATAACTGCAGAAAATCCCAAAGTGGTGGATTTGGTACTACTGGATTTGTCCGCTGGCTTGGACGGTGTACGGATTGATTCTGTCGCAGTACGGTGACATGGAAGACAGGATCAAAGTTCCAGGTATGGATCACGATCCGACAATCAAATGGTATATAAAGCATCATTTCGGGTATGACCCGGATTTCATGGCTCCGGTTGCTGTTGTCTTGGTTGCCTTCCCCGTCTTCTTCGCGTTTATGTTCGCCCTCTGCATCAGAATCCTAAACTTCCAACAGAGATAAGATGGTCTCCATTGATTTCTATATATGCCCCATCTTCTTGTTTTCTCTTTTTTTTCTATATATATGTATATATTCATACGTACCTCTGTTGTGGAACTATTAGCATCATCAAAACCTTTTCAAAACTTTATATTTGAAATCGGGTTCTAGTATCCACTGGTATCCAAAAATTATTTCTAGCATCCACTGGCAACGATGCAGTTCAAGCAATCTGATTCTTGATTTGATAACATAGATTTTTGTTTTTGTTTTCTATTTTTAGCAAAATGTAGGGGAAAAATGTCAATCAGGTCAACACAAGTTACTCAATTTTTCTTTTTCTATCTGTAAGCATCTCCAAAATTTAAACTCAAGGGCTCAGATTTAAACTCAAGATTTGATCAAAGATCTGAAACTGAAGTTTGGCATTCTGTTACAAGATTTGATTAAAGATCAAGATTTGAAAACTGTACATGTATGTGTACGTATCTCTTGTTAATTATAGTTGATGGATTCTGGTTTTCCGGTGATCGGAAACCTGCCGAGACGCAGGTTCACTCACATCGAGTGATCCAAAGTCGTAATTCCTCTGTGCAAGGGTGCGTGCAGTGTATACCTGTGCGATAACCTATGCACCAAAATCTAATCCCAAAGCGAAACCCTAAAATCTGTGAACAAACTAAAGGAATCGGAGTTGGGATATTGAACACTTATCTTTCTCTTGGTCGAGTTTCGGTCTCTGCGGTCTGCTTTCTTGGTTTGCAGGTCGATCGTCGTCAGTGTCAATGGAGTTTACCTTACCAGTCGGTCTTAATTCGTCTTGTTGACTAATTACCACCACCTTTCGTCGTCCTCCGGCGACTCAGAGACGGTGTTGTCTGCGTCAAACGGTCGGACCGAAGAGAGAGAGAGAGAGAGAGAGATGAACAAAGCTGAGAGAAGGTTCTCGGAACATAACGAATAGGAAAAAGGGATTAGGGTTAGTCAGGTTATGGGTTTGGGCCAACGGAAACGATTGGGCCTGAAACCCTACAAAAAAACCTGCAAAACTTGAATCTAAACTAAAAACTGCGTCAATATATTATTATTATTATTAATTATTAATTAGTTAATTGAGCTTATTAGTCCAAGTCTATAATGATAATATATAATTATAACTATATTGTATTTATTTGTCCAATTTGATTGCTCGTTATTTATTTCAAAATTACGAAAAAAAAACATTTACCAAATTTTAAACTTGACGTCTAACAAAATTATTATTATAGATACTTTGATATATTTTACGGAACATATTTGTTTAACATCATTCTGTTATGTTTGCCTGACACTAAATATATATTCGATTTGAACATATACTATCAGAAGTTACTGGTTTTTTCTTTTTCAAATTTTAGATTATATATTCGATTGGTGCGCAGTTTGGCTTGGCTTTGTATATACAAATCAATATATCCATTCGTATAATGGGATAAAATAATTGGCGGGGGGAGAGTATTTGTTCTTCTGGTTACTGCTTTCAGCAATGTCTGCCAAGCATTCTTGATGAGATTCTTGCGTTGGGAATATCTCTAGAAATTTAATTCAAGAAAAAAAAATTATGCGATGAAAAAGGGCTCTAAAGAAGAATTTTGTATGATTGCATATATGCCCCACAAGTTCCTGGATTCTTCGAAAAAGCACATATAATATAAAAGTGTCGAAATTACCCCCCATGATAAGGTTACCGACAATACCAGCTTAGGCTTCACTCTTGTCCTTGAATCTGCCACCTCAAGGGTTTCTGGAACGCCGAGTTCTTGAGTGGAGATGAAAAAAAAACATATATTCTTTCCTTTTATACATTTTAAGGCGCCATCTCGAAATTAGTCCTCTTGAATTACTGCAAAAATACAAACAAATAAAACGATGTGAATTCCTTTTATTGGCTTTTTGGCCTTTTAGATTGCTAGGAATCTAGTTCATATATAACCTCCAAGGGTAATTTATTCACGGGAGTGAAAGCGACGGAGGATAAAATATACGTGTTAAAAGCATATGCTTAATTTCCGGAATAAATGATTGGAGTTAACCCTCGTAAAATATATTAGCTAGGGTTCAGAGTTCATCTCACGACATTAAGTAATAAACTTTGGTGATCATGGTAGTTCGATTTAAATAATGTTATAAAAGCATATAAATAACGAAGTTGAAATATATGGTCATATGATGTTTTATCGTGAAAAGTAATGCCATTGCGCTTTAATTTGTTACTTTTCGTTGTAAATGGTTAGGATTTTTTTTTTCATAAAACTTACAAAGTATATAGATAATGTGTGTCATGTGTCTTTGTCATTATACATGATTAAACCTTGAAACTTACAAGCTTTGATAGACAAAAGTATGGGGTTTCCCTTCTCTTCGGATATTAAAGTGTCCAAATCAAATAATACATAATTTTATCTTAAATTGAAATTATTTTTTAAAACAAATCAAGTAAAAATTTCTTTATCAAAATTCAAAATAAATATAAAATTGCTATAAACTTAATCAAAATAACTGAATTACAACAACAAAAATCTTGAAACTTAAATATTTTTTTTATGATAATTAAATTCAAATTAAGTTTAAATAGAATTCAAATCCGATCGAAATTTAACGTAACATATATAAAACATGTATAATTGATATAAAACTAAAATGTCTAAACCAAAAATAAGCGAAATCCAAATTAAACCAAAATGCAAAACATTCCATATGGCATAGATATAAAAAATATATGATAATTTCTCTAGATTGATGCTATGAAAAAGGAGAATAAGAGAGTTGTGCGAGAAAGCAATGTATCATTAATATTATGCCAACACTCCACCATATATTTATATAAAAAAACAATTACACAATAGAGAAGGATGATGCAGACAAGTCTTTATGTCACATATTTGATTTGGTGGCCAGAGGAATAAAGCTGGCAAAGAATGAATGAATCTCTCCTCGCAACACTTGTTGCCTCTTTAGAGAGAGGGAGAGAGGACAAGACAAGGACCAGAATAGAAAGATCGCAGCTGTTATGTTATCACAAAGATCTTTGTACCAATCATTATTTTGTGTTTTTGTTCATCTAATAAAGTTTTTTGTTTTTCCTTTTTTAGTCATCCTCCTCCTTTGGTATTTTTATTATTTTAGTAAGACTTTGTCTTTTTTTTATATATGGGAAGAAATTCTAGACAGAGATGTCAATCGGGCTGGTCCGACCCGATTGATACATGCTTTGATTCGGAGAGGATGGAAAAAAGTCGAACAAGCCTGATCCTGTATTCGGCCCAAAGGTTTTGGGTTCGGGTTCGGGACGGTCCGATTTTTTTCGGGTCTATGTAATTAAGTTTGAAATCCAATCCTATATATTTCGGGTTCGAATGAGATCGACCTACATAATTTCTTTTGTAAATATTTTTTTTTTTGTAATAATATTGGGCTTTCGGATCAACCCGAATCGAGTCCGAAACTCGATTTGAGTCCGATCCAAAAGCCCGATTTTGTTTTTATCGGAAAATTTAGGCTCGAAATCCGTTAATTTTCAAATTGGATCGGGCCGGGTTTTGGAACTCGGACTTAAATTGACACCATAATTCTAGTAACTGTATTATTATTCTTTAGATTTCATTACATAAATTTAATAAATGGATTTATTTTGTACTTTTGAAAATAAATTAACATGGGTATTTTTCTTATAAAAATTAAATCCAGACTATACATCTCAATAAAATTAGTAATAAAATATTATGACTATAATTTTACATTTTCATATATAATATGTAATGTATAAAGTTTTAGGAATATAAAGCTAAGGGGCATTTTAATTGTCGAGAATATTTCTCTAACTGTATACTTTTGATGTGAAGAGGGAATTACAGCTATAACTTTTCCATTCCACTTTTACCAAAAAAATCTCATGTCCAAATACATTTATCAGTATTTCTTTTCACTCTATATAACCGATGAAGTTTCACATTCTTTTTTTTTATAACGAAAGAAACCACCACGATCTGAGGAGTAAACTCACTGATCCCATGCAATAGTCTGCAACATGTAAATGAAGTTCCACCTTCTTAATGTGAATACTCAAATACGGTTTTAACCCGAGGTTCACAAGATTTTTATGTGTAATTCATCGTCCGTACGGCGATAAATAGTTACTCATAATATGTAATGTATATAGGTGGATGAAATAGTAAATGATCATATATATATATATATATACATAAAGATTATTATATATAGTCGGAGAGATTTGCTCTGATTATATATATATATATATATATATATATATATATATATATAAATAATTCGATCCATTTGCCATCGATATAAATTGATAATACAGGATAGACGTTTTCGAATATTTTTTGGCAACACATTCATATGAGCCACAAATAGCAATAGTTTCAATAATTTTATATTCTATTTCAGTTCTTTCTTGTTTTTCTTTTTTCTTGATGTGATTGGAAATGTTATATTCTCTTCTCTCCTATATAAATCCCATGTCACCCATTTCAGTTTTTCATCGCCATTCATATACAAAAAAATAAAAATTAAATATCTTCACATATAAATTGTTTTTTTTTCTTGGGGTGCTTCAATATTTTTCTGCATAATGGAAAGAAATATGCATAAGCAAGTGGCAATAATGAAAAAGTCCCTCTTTGATCAGGTTGTTCCCATCTCCATCTTAGCTTTATCCAATGATTGTTTCTTCTTATTCGTTAATTTACCCATATAATATTTTTATACCAACACTCCCTTTCTGTTATTTATTTTTTACACCTAATTCTGAGTTTTCGTTTACATACATATATATAAATAATAGTATATAAAATTTACAATTTTAGAACAATATTCATATTCTATTTGTTTCATTCAGTTATTTTTTATTAAAAAAAATTCAAATTTAAAACAATTACTCATCGTTTGTTTTTTGTTCGAATTCTATATAAATTTGATCTATATAGTTGATAGTTATTAAACACATATTAATTATTTTAAATTATATATTTTATTTTACTGATATTTGTAATTAGTTCAGATTTAAATTTGATTAAATTGATTGAAAAAGTTATATTCATACAGTTTTTAAAATTCAAATATTTTTTTATTGGTTTCTATTTTATATATCTGTATTCAAATGACCACCACCGCTACATATACATTTTTCAATGCCGTGAAAGCGTACACATAATCGAAATAATAAAAAAAAAATACCTTTGAATGGTGTGAAAATTAGTAAAAAGATAAATGTAAATGCAGGGATATTTGGATGAACAATTCATGGAGTTGGAAGAACTCCAAGATGATGCAAACCCTAACTTTGTTGAAGAAGTTGTTGCATTGTACTTCAAAGATTCAGCTCGACTAATCAACAACATAGAGCAGGCTTTGTGAGTACAAATTTATTTCTCAATAAAAAATAAAAATTATAAAATATATTAATTAATTATAACCATGCAGGGGGCGAAGTCCTCTGGATTTCAATAGGCTTGATGGTTACATGCATCAATTGAAGAGCAGTAGCACGAGGTAACCATTGTATATATGATTCTATGTAAATATATATAATCTCTTTTTTATGTAAATGTTTGATTTAATATTTATATGAGAGCATATGAATAAAAAAACATTTATATTTTTCTTGGTATCTTTCCACTCGCAGCATTGGCGCTAGTAAAGTCAAGGCTGAATGCCCTTTATTCAGGGAGTTCTGCAGAGCTGGAAACGCCGATGGGTAATTTTTTGCTTATTTTAGTTCTTGAGGGGCCAAATTGTAAACTACTAGAAACATGAGGCGTTATATTTGTGTCGGCTTTCTAACTTTGTAATTTTATTTTATCATATTTTCAACCCCCTAACTCATCTCTGGCGCAAACAATGGCCAGATGTCTAAGGAGTTTCCAGCAATTGAAGAAAGAACATGCAACTCTGAGAAAGAAGCTTGAAAATTATTTCCAGGTAAACCATAATCTTATTTTACTAGATAGTATTAATTTGTTAAAATAAATTATCTAAATTAACATTAGATTTAAATTTATTGAAATTGATATAAATATAAAAATTGTACTTAAATTTTAAATATTAAATTCTATATTCTAAAATGAAATTACAATTTTTTTTTCTAATTTTTTTTTGTTAAATGGTAGTTTTTAAAATTATAATGACATTATATATATATATATATATATAGTACACACACGTAATACGTATGAATGTATATACGTATGAATGTATAGAAGGACAATGGTAACGGAAAGCTTTTGAATTGGGCAGTTGGCGAGGCAAGTTGGGCCAAGGGAGACAGCATGTAGGCCCAAGTAACGAGACATTCGGTTTGGTCTGAAATTTTTGTATAATTTTCTTTTACCATTTAATAAACCGTCCAATTTCCTTTAACCATTTACTATATACACAAACACACACACGTGAGCATTCAAGATTATATTATCATTGCGCCGATATTATTACTAATTGGATTCTGAATTCGGGTTTTGTAAATGGGATTATTGGTAGATCGGGTTTGGGTTTAAATTTTGTCAGATAAGTGTGAACATGACAAAGACACTTGGTAAAAAAGTTACAAATATATTTTTATAGTTTTAACTAAAAATATATATTTTTGGGTTCAAATTCGGATAAATGTATAATATTTTTTGTCGAGACTTGAAATAGAAATTCGAGTTTAGATATCATAATAATTTGTGAATACCCAAACTTTATAGAAATCGAATTTCAATACGTTAAATCCAAACGTTTGGAAAAATCCCTAAATATTGGATTAAACTCAAAGGACCACAATAAGTGTGATTTCTACTTTTATGTTGCCTTTTCAATGATGATTAGTAAATACTCCATTTAGAAGGAAAAGTTTCCGCAGCTTGCGTTATTGTCCTTCAATTTCTTGTTATTCACATTATTGCCCCAAAATGTTTAATATCTCCAAAAATGTCTGTACGAATATTGAGTATTGACTGCTCAAGAATCTGTTTGACTTTTCAAACGATTTGATCACATGTCGCGGATTCACATATTAGAAATCCATATTAATTGGAACTTTTGTTTTGGTCGGCCCAGTAGCATTAGTTTACAGACCTCTTACTATATATGGTTTCCTTATTATATATGGGATATATATATATATATATGTAATTCTGAGTAAAGGAAAATATTCGTAAAAAATATTCTTTCGGGTAGTTTTATATCAAAGTACTCTATGCATTCATACATGCCAAGAGATTGCTAATTGTTCTTGTCATTGAAGTTAAATTCACGTGCTATGTACGCCCGTAATCGTGATTGTTGTAACTAATGTCACATGTATTTTAACACATATGCCATTGAAGTTAATTCACGTGCTATGTACCCCCGTAATTGTGATTGTTGTAACTAATGTCACATGTATTATAACCCATATAGCTATTTCTATAGAAGATTATTTTATATATAGGAAAGTAATTACTTTAATTATTTTTTTAAGATTCAATAATATCCAGAATACTAAATCAAAATCACATTAGTTCTTTCATACACGAATTTAATATTTGTTCGGTTCTCTTTTATATTTTTGTTTTCATTAAATATAAGAATTTTTTTGGTAAAAAATAAATAGAATGATTTTTTTATACAATATAAGTAACTAAAATAAAACCTCTCATATCCCCATCAATTCTAAATCAAATTAATCAACTACAAAAATCAAAATAATTTTTTTTAAATCAGTTTAAAAAATATTACAAATCAATAAAAGTCAAAGAAAAATCAACAAAACTAAGAAACATCATCAGTTTTGTCTAAATCTAGCATAACTAGAACCTCGGATCGGGCGGTACTTGATCGATCACTCTTTCATGTACTCTAAAACCTTGAATCATTTGCACGTGATCATATTCCAATTTCCGAAAACATATTAAAACTCAGACCATAATTTTTTAAATTACAAATTACATATTTGTATATAGTTTAGCCTCGAGAGATTTTTTATTTTAAATAAGGATATTTTAGAGTAAATTTGGACAAAGTTCTAAAAGTCCAAATTTTTAAAGAACCCATTCAGTACGATATCCTATCTTATGAAGGTAAAATAAATGCATTCAGACACATAGCTGAGGCCATATGTATCTTTCCAAAGATTGTGGATTTTCGTAACTTAAATTCATATTAATTATACCATATGTTTTGGTCGGTGGATCGATCGATATTATTGGTTTTGAAATTGCAACTTGCCAAGTGGTATTAGTTTATAGACCCCTTGATATGAGCTAAATACAAAAAGATATATACGGTATATATACTTCTGGTTAAAGAAAATTTTTCGTAAGATATGCATTTTAAAATAATTTTATATCCAAAATAACAGAATTATGAAACAGTGTCTATTGTCGTTTTCTACGATTGTGTATGCATGCATGCATTCATACGTCCCAAAAGATTGTTATCAGCCAGCTTTCATCGTTGAATTTAATTCACGTGGTACAAGGCTGACTTTGTGATTCAGCAACCACGAAGAATGTGATAATATTATATTCCAAAATTGGCACAATCGGTTCCTATATAAGCTTCCACAAATGGACTGACAACACACACCGATCATATATCCAAATACACAAAGCTTCGGATCTCTTTGTATTTTCACAAGAAAACTTTGTAAATCCCTCGTGCGAGAATAGAGACAATGGCCCAAAAGCTTGTTTACTGTTTAGTTATAGTTTTGTGTTTTGTCCGAGCAATGTCCCAGAAGCTGGACGCCCAAGGTGGCCCCGGAGGAGAGGTATGGGACGACGGTGTTTTCGACAATGTGAAGAACGTGTACGTCGCAAAAGGCATATATCCTTGCATTGGTTATGTCAAGTTCGACTACGACAACAGCGGCAAAGTGGAAACGCGTGAGCATGGAATGCAAGTAGAAGCACCTCAAGAGGTATAAACAACATTTCATTTAGATCGATTACAGTTTGTTTTTATGTGTTATATTCTTGATTTGTTTTTATGTGTAATGTGCTCTTGGTGGAAAATTTGTTGCAGTTTTCTCTGGACCACCCACATGAATACATCACATCGGTGGAGGGAACCTACGGCTGGATCGAAGCTTATGCCAACAACATCGTTACATCGCTGACCTTCAAAACGTCCAAGAAGAGAACCTCCCCGACGTTTGGATACCCGACCGGTACGGCATTTGTTCTCGACGTTCAGGACAAACGTCACAAACTTGTCGGGTTCCATGGACGATCCGGTGAGGCGGTTGATGCTATTGGAGCAACTTTTGCACCGATTTCCAAGAAATCCGACTAATGGATGACCAATATCCGATTTGAAAGGGAAAACAAAGAGGAAATAAACGTTCTTCATGAACAAGAGGAACCTATATTAATATATAAAAAATATAAGAAATAAAACCGTTATTGGAATTTGGAGCTACCTTACTATGCATTTTAGATGAAAAGTTAATAACTTGTGTTTCTGCTTTAGTTTTGTTCTTATTATGTATCATCGCCTTTTGCTTTTCCGAATAAAGTTGGTTCCTTCAATGTGTTTAAAATATTATATATATTTTTTGAGGTTGGGTCTAATTAAATAAATGGGCATTTGCTCTAATCATTAAATGACTACGAATTTTGGTGTCACATCTCTCACCTGCGGACCACAACGGCGAACAATTTCATTGAGAATGTAGGGCGACGTATTTTCCATTATTTTTTCGACAAATTGGCGTTCGAGATCTAAACACTCCAACTTAACGGTTAGTATGTATATGTTATGTGTGTATATATATATATATACTTAGATTTTTTTCCCCAATTACAAGAACTATGCGCGCGTATATATGTTTTGCTTTCTAGAAATACAAGACACAAAGTATTTCAGAATAAATCCTAGTAGGGTTCTAAGAACCCATGAATGAGTACGATATCCAATCTTACCTAGGTAAACTGTGTTAAAATAAAATAAAAAAAACACAAATGATTAGTGAAGTTCTGAACGTTGAAGATTGGAAATGATTATGGACGTTGAAGATTAATTAAAGATACAAATTAGTCAATGAAATAAAAAAAAATAATTAAGTCAAATAATAAATGATATAAATTAGATATTCCTTTTTATGAGATTTTATTTTATTGAATTTCCTTGTTTATTTCACTATTTTTTATATAAGTCTGAATTATTTTCATTGTAAGTACACTAATTAATTTTCAAATCTAATGTTAATACATGAATTTTAAAATTTTCAAATACAAAAAGTTTACGGATACCAGGTAAAACCATGCATTTTACAATCAACTCTAAAAAAAAATTACATAACGCATGACATCAATTCCCTTTTGACGGAATATGATCCGATACTAGGTGATGACATGGCAATCGGAAAGCCAAATCGCTCTCGACATCAGTTAACACATGTAACGGTTGTGCCACATCATCAATAAATTGTCGGTTAATCCAAACCGATTTTAACACATGTAACGTTTGTGCCACGTCATCAATAAATTGTCGGTTAGTCCAAACCGATTTTATTATGCATCCCCTAATTTCGGTTTAACTGAACAGAAATCCCTAATTTCGCCTTAACGATACCAAAATCCCTAATTTTGACTGAAATCCCTCGTCGTTTACGTATTTTTCCAAATCTTGCGGATTCTCATAACTTAAATTCGCATTAATTATACCATGTGTTTTTGTCGCTCGGTCGATTAGTATTGGTTTTTGAATTGCAACTTGCCAAGTGGTAATATTTTACGGACATAATTATGTTTTCTTTATATGATCCTGTTTATATATTTTCTTTACTCTCTCAGTTCTGTAACGTGTCGTAATTGGAACAGTGTATTGGTTTGGCGACAAACCGTTGTTGTTACATTGTGTTCTCCTTTGGTTTTCAGAAGATTGTTCAAATCGACCGGCGACAATGTCTCAAAAATTGCCAATCGTGGACGTCACGCCTACTGTGGAACCATGTGCTGGTCATATATATATATATATATATTATTCTTCTGGTTAAAGACAAATTTTTGTAAAAAAAATATTTTTCAGATAATTTTATATCCAAATTAATGGAATTATTAAACAATGTCTAGTTGTCGTTTGCTGCGATTATCGTCTATGCATGCATATGCATTCATACACATCCCATGAGATTTTTAGTAGCTAGCTTCCTTTCATCGTTGAATTCAATTCACGTGATACAAGGCTGACTTTGTGATCCAATAACCACGAAGAACGATAATATTATATCGTAAAACGGATATAATCGGCCGGTTCCCTCCTATATATAAATTTCCATAGATCTCATTTGTATTTTCGCAGGAAAACTTCGTACTTCTCCGGTGAGAGATAAGAGACGATGTCCGAAAAGCTTGTTTATGGCTTAGTTATAGTTTTATGCTTTGTGCGAGCAATAT